CACCGGCACGTTTGGCCGTGTTGTCTCGGCCAAGCACAAGCGCGACGGCCGCCTCTACGCCATCAAGATCGTCCACAAGTTTGGCATGGACGACGTCATGAAGCGCAACCTCAAGGTCGAGCGCGACGTGCTCCGGGAAGTCCGGCATCCATTTGTGGCATCGCTCCACTTTGCGTTCCAGAACGAGGACAAGCTGTACATGGGCATGGAATACCTCAGCGGCGGCGACTTGCGCTACCACCTGCAGCTCTCGCTCCGCGAGACGAACGGCCTCCTGCCGCACCGCCGCGTGCAGCTCTACGCCGCCGAGCTCGTGGCCGCGCTCGCCCATTTGCACTCGGTCAACATCATCTACCGCGACCTCAAGCCCGAGAACATTCTCATTGCCTCCGACGGCCATCTCAAGCTCGTCGACTTTGGCCTCTCCAAGGTCATGTCCAAGTCGACCGACGGGCGCAAGAGCAAGACGCTCGCCGGGTCGCCCGCGTACATTGCGCCCGAAGTGCTCGCGGCCAGCAGCCAGCCCGCGCGCAAGGACGTGGCGTACTCGAGCGCGTGCGACTGGTGGAGTCTTGGCATCGTCCTGTACGAGCTCTACGTCGGCAGTACGCCGTTCGAGGATGAGAACCAAGCCATCATGTTCCGCAACATTGCCGAGGGGGCCCTGTACGTCCCCGACGAGCTTGGCGCGCCCACCGTCTCGCTCCTCGAAGGGCTCATCTGCCGCGACGTGAGCACACGCCTCGGCGGCGCCGAGAGCATTCCGTTGAGCATCATGCAGCACGCGTACTTTGAGGGCATCGACTGGGACAAGCTCCAGGCAAAGGCGTATGCACCCGAGTGGGTCCCGGACCGGGACGAGGTGTACGTCGACGACGAGTTCTCGACCGAGGTGCCCGTCGACACGCCCGAGTGGCGCATGCTGGACGAGGTCGACCGCGAAGCCGAGCGCGTCGTCGACTTTACGTATCGCCCAACCGAGATCATGTTCGGGCCCTAGTCGTACACCATAATGTCATGTGTTCTCGTCGTTCCTCCGCCGAACACGAGTCGATGTAGCAGATCTGAGGTAGCTCAGTTGAGGTCCCGAGCGATGCAGCTTCGCCGGTCACGCCGTCGTTGAGCACGCTACAGATGCTAATGGCAGTGGCAACGCAGAACCCTCCCGCATCCCGTCCAAGTGCAACCGAGCGGGGTCGAGACACTGTTTTTTACACGATGTATACAGCCATCTAGCTCTGGCGCGGTGGCACGTAGCTGCCATTGTTGGCTTGCTGCACAGCTGCCTGCTGGACGATCTGCGCATGTAGCGTAAGTCAAAGGAGGATGCATGCGCAAGGTACCTGCGTCGCGACCTCGGGCGACACGTGGGCGAACGCGTATGTGCCTGCTTGCGCCGCCAAGTGCGCATTGTTGGCAAAGACTTGGGCTGCTTCCTACACGGTCATTGTCGCAGGTGACGTCGGTGGACGCACGTACTTGCTCGCCGGCCGTGTACCCGACGGTCGGGTCCATGTCGGCGCGGAGGCTGCCGCTGCGAAAGGCCGGGTGCATTGTGATCACGATGAGGTTGAGCAGCGCGTTGAGACACATGAGGACGCCTGCGATCTTGGCCATGGCGTCAGCCATGCCAAAGTCCATAAAGCCGACGCTACAATGCCTCGTGAGATGCTGGCGAGAACAGCTCGTTCGTACAAGAAGATGAAGGCCGTGCGCCCGCGGTAGGTAAAGAGAAAACCAAACTGGCGGCGAATCAACGGCTCCATGGACGAGAACCGACACTCGAACGCCAAGAGCAGCATCGCAAAGATGCTACGCGCGGCGCATGAGCCCATGCCTACGCCATCGGAGCAGCGTACATGACGTAGACGGCGATGAGGAAACTAGTAATGTTGAGCATCGCCAAGTCAAAGAGGCCAAAGAAGCCCGCGAGCGCCTGGAAGAGCGCCAGCACGACGTTGAGGTAGCGCATGTACTAGCCGCAGCAGCATGAGCGCGCGTCGGCCATGTGCCATCAGCATCGTACCCGCAGAAGCGTGTGCCCATCCCAGCTCATGAGGCTACACGCGCATGAGCCTCGCCGCATGCCATCGCATGCTGTTACCTGCGCCAGAAGCCGACGGGCGTCGCGCAGACCGACGGCTTGAGGTCCGCGTCGGCCGCGTCGTACAGCGGGGCCTTGAGGTCTGCCTGGTCCATCGTCGCAAAAAGATATTTGGAAGCTGGTGTGAGAAACCTCTCATATATCTTCGTCGAAAGGTATTAGATGTCAAAGGTTTTCAAACC